CGGTCGGTCATATCTTACTATGAACTTCCTTTACCCGAACCATGCTTATACAAACCGCTCTCATCCAAACGGCGTTCCTCCAAATCCTCTTGTCTTGATTGTTCGTGCAACGGTTGTTCGAGAGCTATCTGAAACTCCAGAGGGTCAGAACCGTACAATAGATAGCGACTTGGGACATGATGAACACACAGAGGGATATCATTACCGCGGGCGATACAACAAATACAAAGAAAACATCGGCGAGGTTCGTCATCTTCTAGATGTTCTGCAGAACACTCGTTCCGTCAGCTATAGTCTCCGACCCGGTGGTGAAGTATACCGCGCCTAGAAGGCACAACCTTACCTCGCAATAATTGCCCGGGAGGTGGCAATCCCGGTAGAAACCAAAGCTAGAGGGGTGCGAAGTAGTCAATAGTCTTGTTGACAATGGGAGATGACAGAATGCCAATAAAAACAGAGAGTCCTCGAACACATCAGACACTGAGGGTTGTAGGCTAGTACACAACTGCACTTGCACTGGAACTCCAGAAACCACAAAGGGAAGGCTGGATGGGTCTAGGTCAGTCTCTAGAATAAGAGAATGCAATCAGACAACAGAGAGGGTACGGTCCATCCGTGGTAGGCACTCCGTACGGAGTGTGTGTTTGTCTGGCCTCTGCGCAGGGGTTCTCTGCCGGCCTCGACCGCCTTCCTCACCCGCGTGACCTCCAGTTTGGAAGTCCTCACCATCCGCCCGCACCGAGCCTCCGTCACCCAGCTTCCCTGCATTATTCCATCCTCAGCATGGACGCTACCGCGGCACAGGAGAGCAAGGACACGGCGGCCTCTCACAAGACGCCTGTCCCATGGACTTTGGTCAATCTGTACCCGCAGCGTCAACAGTGGAAGTCCACCAGACTGCGTCCACTGACCACCGTCCTCCAACCTCCATAACTATCGCACCATTTGAGCAATGACTTTCCCTTGTTATCTGTCGCAGTTCGGACGCAGCCGGCGCTCGACCATCTGCACCAACTTATCAGCCGCCCTGCAATTTAGAGTACGCAGCCCTCCTGAGCTCGAGGCCAGTAAAGCAAGTTATCGGGTGCGGGATAAACTCCAACCAACAGACATTAATCTAATTATCTGGGCTAACCCGCAGTATGGCACTACAGTCCCGCCCACTTACTAAATTCCTATCGCATCTGCCTCCAACGTCCACTACTCCCAGACACACGGACCGCAACGCCCTGCTTCCCGACATCACACCCAGTTGGCCTCAATCAGCAAACTCCTCACTCCCAGCACGCACCTCGAGTATACAGCGCTTGGCCCAGCCCATTGCAGTCGCAGATTCGGAAAGTCCCGCTACACATACGTTGAGGTGGAGTCCGTGCCGCCACAGCTGTCGGGGATTCCAATGCCATTCGGCCATTTGATCGTGCCCTGCATGTGGAGAACAACATCAAAGATGCATACAGGGAGCCGAGCGAGAAGGAAGACACGTTGGAATGGTATACCTGGGGCCAGCAAGCATCCACCAGCCAACGCGCCCTTTCTAGGCGTTCCAGAATGGACAAGGTCCACTTCCGGGGTACCCTCCACCTGGAGAAGTTCGAAAAGTTCGGCGAGGATATTCTGGTCAAGGGTGATAAGGAAAGAAGGCACGTCGTGGACATTGGGTTTGGGGAGGCCTGGGTGACAGACCATCTTGGGGTCATGGCGGAAATCAAAACCACTACCAGCGTTGGTACACAGCCTGAGGCTGTAACTGCCATAAAGAGGTCACACATGCGCCTTGTTGCTGTATTATTTAAGTTATATGCCATTGATCCACTAGTATTCCCCGACCTCTTAGCGTCCCTCCAACCAACCTGCTCCAAGCTCCTCTTGTCCTCACGTCGGCGCAGATAGACAAGGAACTGCACCCAATCCACACAATTAACGCTCAGTCAAACATTCCCACTCCTTTGCTTGCATCCCAGTTTCAGTTACAATAGACATAAACAGACAACCCAGTAGCAAATCAACCCCGACAACACCGCCGAAAGATATCTGCCAAGCCAATATCAGTATAGGTTGTGCGGTGCCACATACGGAACTCAACAGGACCTTGCAAAAGGTCGACATATACGCAGTTCCCATCCTCGCTGTCTCATAGATCCTGAGCCTCTCAAATCAAGGTTAGCACGGACTTTCATACTTTCACTTTGTCTTAGACCAACACCCATCTCTCTATATATATGCAGCATTGGTAACGCGAAGAATCAAGGACTACGTAAAGACCCTAGGCGTAATTGTTATCTCCCAAATACCAATTACCAATAAAACCGTGCAGATAGTGCTCCATTGTCTTGGACCTTGGTTACTGGGGGAGGTAAGTCTCTGCCGTGAGAGTGTCTTTTAGCTATTAAACCATGGCTAAGATATATCCAGGCCACCGCAACCTACGCGCTACTCATCTCCGTAACAACAACCATCAGGGGACATGGATATTTGGTCATGATCACTCGACCTATATTCAATTTAATTCAACATTGGAAGTATCTAATCATTCGACAACGGAGCCATCTTAATGAAATACCAACCAAAACCGGCACTGAGTGATCGCGCTGAGCGTCACGAGAAACTCAGCTTAATCCAAGGCGAAAATATCAATGTCTCATGGTGAAATCCCAAACGTTTGACTCCCGCAGTGTTAGTTGTGTGGTGATTGCTCAAATCCACGCTGCTTTGAATGTCTCACGCATTTCCATCGGCCACCTACTACGCGGACGAAACCAGGAAACGCAGTTTCTCTACAATAATAGCGTGCTGCCTCCTTACTCTCATTGCATTTATTATTTCCGTTGCGCTGCTAAAGTGTTACAGGACTGTCCTATGATGGGTGCTGTATTATCGCTGGTGGTCTGTATCCGGGCAAGCTCGTCTCCATCGTCACGACATTATTTTATCGCCCCCTGCAGCGGTTCCCGGTCTTCTCGTAATACCATCTAATAATAACCAGGCACCAGTCAATAAACAAGCCTGTGGGATAGCAATCTAACTTGGCGTCGCGACAAAGGGTGGTGCGGCGGCATCAAACTTCCCTACAGTACCGGAGCTTACCTAGACTTCCCCCAGATACCGCCTGGGACATGCGCTTATGCTCACCTTCAACGGCCTGCTTACAACAATCATATACTAACTGATCCGGAGACAGTTCAAAAACTGCCTGCCTATGTCTAAATCATTCGAGGTCCACATACCTATGAGCGAAGGCCTGTCCAGTGTCTAGACCAAGTTTTTGCGCCACACTCGCCGACCGTCCGACGCATCCTCGCTGAAATTCCATCAACCAATCAAACTCACCCACGTGCCCTGGAAGCTGCTGGAAGACTGAAGTGCGCCTAATACAGCATCTCATGTAATCGTAGGCATCACAAGAACACAGGTTAGGGGCGCACTTTGATGCCACTGTTTCTTCGCTGCTTGCCGGTCCCACGACTTTGCTGGAGGCTTTTATCTCTGCCATACCGTACTATTGGGAAATACATGTCTGGTTAGAGACTCAGAGTAGGTCGACGGTCGGAGAAACGCAGTCGCCAGGGTAGGACAGAGTCGGACGGAGTTGGAGTAGCACGGAGCCAGGGTGTGGCACACCCAGCGTAGGACAAGTCACAGGATGTCAGAAGAGTAAGCTTGCATTAGGACAGCACGATCATCGGAGTTGAGCAACTGCCAGAGTAGAGCAGTGGCCAGGAGGGACAGTATGAAGACTGCGGGCGTCTAACCACGCAAACCAGTCCGAGGGCAATGCGTGCTATTGATTGTCGTGGATTGCCGGTCATATGGCCAATAGCAATTCAGGCAACATATCTGTCTTACAGCACGAGGCCTGATCCAGTAATACTCCGCTGCAGTCAGAATGCCAGAGCAGATCACTCCCAGTGGAAGTTCAGGCTTGACTCCTGGACTTAGACTGAATGGACCGTGAATACAGATCAGCGCCGAAGACAAGCGGGGCTGCTAGTATGGGATAGCAGAGATGTCTGTTATCACACGAGTATCACACAAGATAAGATAGACATGTTAGGAAACGCGACGCAGGCGGATTTACTCATAGCTGGGCGACCGAAACTCGTGATCAGTGCGGTAGGGATGTTAAAATGTTGTCACAAAACGGACTGTGACCGACACAGCGAAATGTCCATGTTTTTTATGACGGTCAGAGACGACATACACGTGACTAAAAGTGGGTCAGTACTAACCAATAATCAGGCGCCCTGCCAGCTAATAGGCTTCCAGATTGGGACTAGTGCTCTTTTATGCTACGGGAGCTAGATCCTTTAAGGTATGCCAAGCGCCGATCTGTCAGTCTTGTTTCGCTGTGACCGTCACACTGGTCATTTAGGTGGTCACAGACGGTCAGACATATGTCGGACCGCACCCCTACAGTGCGGAGAGTCTCAATCTTGCAAGTAAACGCGAATCTCGGCCGAGAGTGTAGCACCAATCAGATGCCAATCAACGTGAATCAGCGTGTCACTGCAGCCGTGCAGCAAATTCCATCCTTCAGCCCAGAACTGGTATTGCACCAGCTACAATACTGGGCATGTAGCTGTGCAACCGTCTAAATTATGCCATGATACTGGACAGGAGACCGCTGAGAGGCTTATCGACATCGTCTGTTCAGCTGGGCCGTGTGGAACCGGGTACTCCGGAGAGCACATAGTACAGGCGCTCTCATTAAGCCTCATCTGAAGGCGTCCCTTGCCAGACAATCAAGGACGCCGATGGCGGCCCACGGGGATCACTGTAGACTATCATGCGCTAGAGGCTTGACTCGCACATGGTATAGACCACTGCAGAGTTACAGTCTCATATCCATATCAATATCAAGCCGTACTAAACCGTTGCACTCTTGCTGCGCACTCGCCCAGGCCATCAGCCTCAGGCGTGAGACACAGGCTAGCTTATAAGCAGAATCGATTGACAAATCCATCATCCTGCTCTACCTAGTCACTCATATCCTTAACAACATGGAGGAACCCTCTCCACCGCATAGCGCCCTCTCAACCGCAGCAGGCCGAGGCTGCTTTGTCACAACAATCGTGGCTCTGGTCGTCCTCCTCGCTGGCCTTGTACTCCGGGTCTGGGTGCAGGTCAAGCGACGCCAACCAATCAAAATGCACGATTACTTCTACTTCGCTGGGTTCCTCTTTGCGGTCGCATACTCGACCACCTTCCTCTATGGTAAAGATGGTCCCCCGTCCTGTTTTCGCACTGTTTCTCAACTCTAACAGCAATATACCCTCTGGGGCTTGAAATGCTCAATCAGGATTTCGCGCGCGTACATCCCAAGCGCGCCGTGCAGCTGCTGAAGGTAAGCCTTTCCAGTTGCTGCGGCTGCACATGGCAATATATTGTTCTGCTCTTGAGCGGCACACGCTGACTATACCAACAGCTCATCACTGCAAGCCCAATCCTATGGGCCATAGCAACAACACTTGTGAAACTATGTCTACTTGCATTATTCTACGAGATCTTCCCCTCGGCGCTTGTCAGATACCTCATTGGGGTCATTGCTGCCCTCAGCATCATGCTTGGCCTTTCAGGAATCCTTCTTGGTGTTCTCATGTGCAAGCCATTCGCGTACAACTGGGACAAGACAATTCGGAGCGGCCACTGCGGGAACAGCGACGCCATGCAAATCGCACTGTCGTCGGCAAACATGGCCATCGAGCTCATGATTATCATCCTCCCAACATCAATCCTGTGGAAACTTCAAATGCCCCGCCGGTCCAAGATTATTCTGAATGTCGTGTTTAGTCTGGGTCTTTGGTATGTGTGTCCCGGCGGCTATTCAATACCCTTGCTTGCATGATACGCAAGGCCGTACCAATAATCCACTGACCTTGATTCCTCGTGCCCGCAGTGTCTGCGCAATGAACCTAACACGCGTTGTGCTTGTCTGCTACAAGAGCCGCACGGGTTTCACCTACACTGTCTTGTTAACTGTCCTTCTCTGCACGCTTGATGTCAACATTGGACTAATCTGTGCGTCAACGCCCACGCTCGCATCGCTAGTGGTGGCAAGGAGGAGCGGCAGCGAGGAGGATCGAGCAACTCCGTCGCCGGTGATCAATAGCTTCGCACGCCGGCGGATGAAGTTAAAGGCACAGCTGTCCAGGAGTCAGAGGGCCCGGGACAATGATATTAGTCTGCTGTCAATGAATACCGAGGACAACGAAACGTTACAGCAGGGTAGCGGGTTAGGCAGGTCGGTGGGGGACACCAGTTCGGTGACTGAGGGTGAGGTTGCTGAGGGGATTTAGTCCATGCCGTCTACTTATTACGTGCAAGATGTAAGGAACAAAAATAAGCATTATTAGAGAGGGTCTGCCACGGGAGCGCTCGGCGCAACTCGTTAAATTCATAGTGCCGGCAGTTCTAAATCAGGCAATTTTACTAAAAGGTACTAAGATAGGGTAGATAAGAAAAGGCCAATTATAAGCTTTATAATAAGGGTACCCATAGTACTAAGCCTAGTTAAAAGGCCACTAAACCCTTTAAAATTAAGCACACTGCTATGCCTACGTGGCAGACACTCTCTATTATATTAGCAAGAATACAACTGTCACGATCGCGGCCTCCGCCCCCGCTAGGGCTAGGGCCTGATGTAAGGAACAAGAATAAATGATATTGTATTAGCAAGAATATAATAAGTAGGGAGGAAACAGAGGCTTAGAGAACCCTGCTACTAAGTATTATAGGTTATGTAAGTAGTTAGGCCCTAGCCCTAGCAGGGATAGAGGCTATAATTATAATATTTATCCCCCTTTTTATAGATATAGCTATTTAAGGATTCTGGCTAGATATAATATTTAAAATATTTTAATTAATACTAAAAAACTTTGAAATATGTGGTTTATTTAGGTATTTTATATAGTAATTATATACCTTATTAAAGGTATTTTTAAAATTGGACTAATATTATTATAAGGGATTTAAGTTTGAGTTATTTTATAGTTTAAAGTAAAGTATTTTATATTTCAAATATTATAAAAAACTTAGTAATTAATAATTTTATCAATTTTTCATTTTTATAGGCTTTTATTTACTTTTCGTTATAATTAAATAGCTAATAAAAATTAGAGATCTTAAGCTGCCCAGGATGAGTATTTATAAGTATTAAATAAAGCTTTTAAAATAAAAAAAAGTTTTAGCACTGCCCATGCTATATACTTTAGTAGGGTTACTTTATATACTTTATTAATCTAGTAAATAATTAGCCACAGGCCTAGGGCACGCAGAAATAATTCATAATTTTTTATTAAAGTTTAAAATCTAGTATTTATATAAATATAATCTTTAATATAGTATTCTAGGTAAGGCTATTAGTATTAATTAGTAAACTTTACTTGCATAGATTAGACCTAGGTAATCCAGATTTTTTAATTATTTTTATATTTTTTAGTATATTTAACTAGCTTTATAGCTACTAATATTTTAGAATATTTAGGAGAGTTAAAGGCCCCCAAAGGCTTATTATTTATTTAGGGATAATAACTAAAGTTAGTAAAAAATAAGGTATTCTTAGTATTTTTGCTTAGGTAGTTATTAGCTATTAAGACAGTGGCCTTAAACAGAACATTAAATTAAGCTATCTGGCGCCTATGCATAGAAATCTAAGCATAAGGAAGGAAATATTGAAGAGTAATAGAGTATTATATAAAAAACTCCAATAAGTAGGTACTAGTTTTAATAAAAAAAATAGTATACTTTATAGTAGTACTTAGCTAACCTTATTAACTTTAATACTTACTAGTATTTTATCCCTAGCCTTAGTATTATTAAGGCCCTAATTACTGGTATTAATCACTAGTAAGTAGGTAATTAATAGCTATAATAATCCCCCTAAATAAAACTAGAATAATCTTATTTTATATTAATTAAATTTATATTCCTTTAAATATTAAATTATTTTTTATAAATTAAATTGAAATTTTTTAATTTTAGCAGCCTATAACTATAAGTTTAAGTATTTTAGTAGCCTTACGTGATTTAAACACTTTTTATAATAATTTACTATAGGCATGCATAACCCGCACATTAAAACCAGCACTACCCGCACCAAAACCCGCATTAGTACTGGTTTAGGTCAATATATTTAAAGCCCGCACTTACTATAGGTTAAGAATTAGAAACCTGCATGGGTTTATAATAGCCCGCGCGGGCTTTTAATATAGGTTTAATTTATATATAATAAAAGCCTGCACTACTAAATTTTCAAATATAATAAAAATATATATTAAAATACCTACTATAGTACAAGAACTCTTAAATTAGTAATTAATAATTTTACTTATAGTTATAGTTTTACAAAGTAAAATAAAGTTATAAAGTAACTTATTAAAACAAAAAAAACTATGTTAAAACCAATCAATTACTATTGGCTAAATATTTATAATTTACTAAAAAATTTTACTAGCTTTAATAAGGTATTTAGCTATTTTTATTACTTATTATTTAATGTTATTAATAAGGTGTTTAGCCATTATTATTACCTGTTATTTAAGGTTAGCTATTTATTGTAGAAGGTTATTCTTAATCCATGGCTAAAAAATAATTAGCTTTTAGTTTTAGGCAAGGCTAGTAAAGTTAAGGGTTAATAAAATTATACTAATAAGCTATTTTTATTATTACTATATATAGCTATATCTTTATTAAGAACCTCTATAAATTATCCTCCCATACTAGGGCAGGGTATCTAACCTAGATTATAACACAGCTTGTAAGAATAAAAAAAGCCTGCTTAATTTACTTACCCCAAAGCTTAACCTCTTGTAAGAAAGCACTTCTTATAGCTATAGTAAAAATAGTTATTATACTTTTTTTTAATTTTTTAAATATATACTTGGCCTATATTAAGAAAGTAGACATGTCTTAGCATGTGGTATACGTCTTTCTAGTTGGTGGCTAATAACCCGCGCAAGTAACAAGAATGCCCTTATAAAGTTAGGTCTACACAGCCAGCTAACCTAAGTTTACAAAACTAATAAAATTAAAGGAATATAGAACAGGTGCAAGAATCTACTATTACTTATAAAAGGATAAGGGCTATTACCCTGTCCACAAGGGAATTTAAAAAAATAACCACTAAATTAATCCCTAAGCACTATATAAAGAGCGCTACAGGGGGTAAATAAACAAACTATGTAATAGCCTACTATCCCATAGTAACAGCCTGCGGAGCAGGCTGGTCCTAAATTACCTGCGGAGTGCCTAGTAAATATGTAAAAGGTCTAGGCTAAACAGGCAGGGCTTATAAAGGCTCCTGCTAGATATCCCTAATTATTATAAGAACCTAACTAAGATAAATAACATATAGGGGGAGTAGGGGGCTAACAAGAGCCAGAGCTAGAGCTAAAGCCAGGGGCGCAGGGGGAGCAGGCGCGGGAGCAGGAGCAAGGGTAGCAGTAATAGTAGTTTACCCTCCTGCAAGGGGCATCTACTAGAGTATAAGGTCCTTGGCCTTAGGGATTTGCGAATAGTGTGATAGGGTGTAATACACCTAGAAAGAGGTTTGTAGATAGTAATTCTAGAAAGGATAGGAATATTAAGATTAATGCTAAGGGTTAGATCTCTAGCCTCGCGGAGGCTAGATATCCTTAGTATGCACTAAGTTAGCACCCAAGGCTGACTCAGCTATCCGCGAGCGAAGCTATCCGTGGATATCTCTAAGTCTTGTAAAAGGGCTATATATAGTATAATAGGCCTTACAGCATCTACTAGAGTTAGCACCTTTAAAACCCTTACAAAAGGGAAACTTATAAATTTCCCTATAAAAAAGGCTTTATCCTCCAAAGGAGGGGAGGGGGAGCACAAGAGCATAAAAAGGGGGCTGGCAGCCTGTAAAAAGGGGCTAGAAGTAAATATGTTCTTTTTTATAAATGCAGGTTAGCTTAAGCTTAAACTGCAAGCTTGCAAAGACAAGACATAGCTAGCAAGCTTGTAAAAATAATATACAAAAATAAGAAGTCCTTACAACACCAAGGCAGCACGCAAAGACAGGAAGTCCTTGCATATAAGGTAATATATAAATAGGAAGTCCTTGTAACACCAAGGCAATATATAAAGACTAAATTCTTATAATACTAGGGCAGGAGCCTGGTGTTAGTAAGTCTTAGCCCCTTTATTTCTACCCTTGGCTTTAAAGGTGGTACTCGTGCACCCTAAGAGGATCCTTTAAAGGGAAAGGGCCAAGCCACTAGTAAAACCGCGGGTTAGAAAACATTCTAAACCATGCATGATAATAAGTATCCTAGCTTGGCTAATTATATGGCTAATATTAAATACTACCTAGAGAAAATTAGACTAGTAGTAGTTAGTACTATGCTAATGCCTACCCTAGGTGTGCTTGGAGTACTAGTTTTTACTAGTAAGAATATTACCCACTTCCTAAAGATCTTTAAGCAGGTATATATTAACCACCAAGTTTTTAAAAACCTTAACAAACCGGCTTGTGTGGCTAGTTATTATAGTTATACTATTATAAATATTATTAGGAACCTGGCAGGGTATGTAACCAGGGACTAGAAGGCCTTAAAAGGTTTATGCTTAAAGAGTACCACAGGTAAGATACCTACTAAATTAAGCAAACTTAGCAGTATTTTTAGTAACTTAAGGCTTAACTAATAACTACACACCTTAAGTAATAATAACTAAGGCTATATTATAAAATATAACACTATTTTTGCTAGGGTTATTACTAATAATAAATTAAATTTTATACTAGGTCCTTATAGCTAATGCAAGGCCTTCCCAAGGACCTTATATATTAAATACTTAGGAAGTTAAAGCCTAAAACCAAGACCCTAAGATACCTAGAGTACTAAATAGTAAAAGAGGTATACTTAAGTAGCTAACCTTGGAGGAATTATTCCTAGAAATAACCTGTAAAAAATAGTGTTTTCTAAACTAAAGAACTTTAAGGAAAGGAAATATATTATTAATACCTCTGGCTAAATAGCTAGTATCCTGCCTCCTAGTGTCCCCGCGCCTTATACTACTAATAGTAAATAATTAAGCTTATATAAAGTTAAATAGGTCCTAAAATAAGATAGCCCAAGCTAAAATAAATTTTAAGAACTTACTAATATATTTAAGGCCATGTAATTAGGCCTTAAAGTACTAGTAATAAAACAAGCTTAGCTACTACCTTAACCTATATATGTAAATTAACCATAGCCCCAATCCTTTTATTAAGTAGTAATTACTATGCCTGGCTAGTAGCCTGTAATTTACCTAGTAGTAGTGCTTATAACCTACCCTT